CTAATTGTACACTAGCACCACTTTCTCTCTGTTCGTCAAGTAAAATAGAATCGAATTTTTTTTCATTTGGTTTTGCACTGACACCAGAAGCAATGTCAGAGTCACTATTTCCAGTATTGTCTTGCTGATCCTCAGAACAATTCAGCAGCCGATGTTCATTAGTCACCAGTTCCTTGTTATCAGTATGCTCATCCCGGTAAGTTTCGTCCATTGCATCCCCGGGACCCAAGTCCAACAGTAAATCAATCTCCGCCTTATCCCCTTTGGAGTTGTTTTGGAGATATTTTCTTGGAGGAGGTGTGGGGGCACTACCAGGACTCGCCAAATCCCAATTGTCGGAATTTCGAATTCGATTGGAAGGACGAGTTGTTCGAGTGTTCCCTCGAATCCGTCTTTGGTTTTGTTGTTTTGAGGAGGTGTTGCCAACCCCTTTGAAGATGTCGTCGACAACTTGCTTACTTTTCTCCTCGTGAGCGAAAACGACGGGGCTTGGGGTCGACTGGCAAAGAGGACGAAATGATGAGTTCCATTGGTTGTATTCAATTTGGATTTTCGGTTACAAAATCAATTTTTTGGTTAACAGAAGGTCTTCGGTATTTCTTTTCTATCCAGCGATTGAAAACGACAATCATTGCCAAAATTATTGGCACGCATTCATGTTTTATTAGAGCTCATTTTGTACACCCTGTTTTCCTCCGGACAGTTTTGCTGGTGTTTACAGACTGATGGTATTGCCAATAAATTTGCAATGATTGTAGCTTTGAGAATCGCAAAAATAACATTAAATGTTGAGAAAGCCTGCCTTTTAAATGAGCTTTTTATCTTCCCAATCGGCATAACAATTGTTAATCCACTAGTCATTGCAATACATACCTCTGCAACAGTCTTGACAACGTTTGGCCGCTCTGAACCTGAACTTTTTGACGATGAGCCTGACCTGCTACCGGAGTCTACCGATCCTGATCCGGGTGATTTTGTGTAACCTTTAGGACCCCAAGGTCCTTTAACTCCAGAAAGTGGCCTCGATACCGCCGTTGTTTCTTCTTTTTGTTTAGGATTTTTGACCTTTTCTTTAATTTTTTGTGGAATCAACTCTTGTGATGATGTGGGTGTTGGTTGTAAAGGAGTTGTTTTTGGACGTTTAGGCAGTTCGTATGGTGTCATTTTTAGAGTTGATTCGACGGTTTTTAATTCTAAAAAAAATAATAAAACAAACAAATTATATGGCAAAGTTTGATATGTAAACAAACAAACAAACAAAACAAAAAACAACGGATAAATTATTCGATAACTGGGAAAGTTTTGTGGATATAGTACATTAGAGCAGTATCCCAAACTTTGATGTGGGAAATGGTAGAAGAAAAGTACTACCTTTATCTGCTTCATGTTGTTCTTTGGTTCGTTCTGATTCTGGTTTGTACGGACTAGCACCATTTTGCAAAGCCTTCGTCACGAAATCATCCAGAAAGGACAAACCTGAATCAACCTGCACAGATAAAAACAAGAGTGAGGTATTTTATTACCAAGATCCTGTAAGTGAGTGCACTTCCACGCAAGTTCTGCCAAAGAAAGACTTGGATACCTGTGCTCGTAAAACCTGCTTAAGTCAATGAAACTATTGAAAAATTGATCGCACAATCTTAGAGGTATTCGATATGCGGATATGGTATGCGGATAAAAACCTTTCGCGTTAGAAAGTGTCCGCATTTTGAGCGTTTTTTCAATAATTCCTCTTCAAGCCGTTTTCTATCATTTTTAGAYACGCTCGGGTATGTGTTGACGCACCTCGTTTTGTAAAAAATGTAGACTGGGCTGTATAAGGTCTCGTAAATGTTTGAAATGCAAAACAAAACAAAACAAAACAAAACCTGTAGAGTTAAGACTGTAAATCGAACATACCTCAAGGTCTTCACAGCTCGCATCTTCTGGTAAAACGGTCTTCATCATTCTTTGATCTTTCGCTAGAACGCTGATTTCGTGACACCGCTACAACATGAACATTCATGTCACACATTAGAATGATTCTAAGTAACGCAATRCTCAGTTGATGGTTAAAATGAATTAGCAAATGCAGTAARATACTGGTTGTGGGGTGTTGGCCCGGACCGCGACCGACTTAAGGGACTATAACCAACTGATAGTCTGTAATGKCCCATTTTACTTTACAATAACAAAAACTTTCCTTCGTAAAGCTTAAATTTATACTGGACAAGTATGTCTACCTGTCTGATATCAACATCTTTGTCATTACTTAATTGGAGTAGCGCCTTGTGTGTACTGCCTGGAATTTGCCCATTCATACGGGATATTAGTTTACCAATCGATGTTACAATCCATCTCTTGGTTGATGGATCTATGGAAAAATAAAATTACTAAGTTTACTATGTAGTTCACAAAATGGCTTAGATTAGACAACTCTACTCCGCGGAGGACTCTGTATTAAGGCCTTAGCCATATGAATATCATGCTTTCAATCGACTTTGAGCCAGTGTCTATATGGGAATATACATGTATGCATCAGGAGTTTCGGTGAACAATGCGTCCGCTATCTGGGAAGTGAGACCCATATACTGGAAAAGTCGATCAATTTACAGAGTCTGTGAATTTACTGAAAAAAATGTCTTTTTACAAACTTAGTAAATTGATTTTACAAGAGATTTACAATGTTCAATCGAGCACATTGTAAAAGATTTAAAGATATTTACAGAATGCACATAAAATTTGCAAACTTTTTTGTAAAAGGACATTTATTAAAAACTCTATAAACTAATCCATTTTCCAGTGACTCAAACCACTATGTTGTGCCTTAGAACACATTTCGTAGTTGCTACGTCAACTAATCTTTCATTATGTAGTTTTATATTAACWTGACATTAGCTTAGAACCGTTTAATAGTGTTTTGAGTCCCAGTTTTCAAGATGGCGGATGCATTGTTCTCCAAAACTCTTGATGCATGTATGATGATGTCAGTTCTACTATTACAAAAACGATTGTAAGATTATGACTAACCTGTGTAGTTTCTGTCCAACAGACTGCAGAGTTTTTCGATGACTGATTCAGGATCTATTTCAGATGCAGCGTACGAATACTCGCCTAAAATCTGGAAAATTATCAGAAATGAGAAGATAGCAGACAGTATTTACGAGTGAACAAATAAACGTAGATATGCGAACGACACTGATAAAACGAATAGGAAATAAAAAATATATAAATAAATAAAATACGAATATATTAAATCAATAAAGACAAACAAAACAGGCAATCAGGTGGATTGTAAAACGAAACGGAATAGAAGAGAGAAGAACAAAGCAAAACGAAAAGAAGCAAACCAACCAACCAAAATCACGCTAAAAACTAACAAATAAACAAAAATCTACAACAGCAACAACAAATCTCAAACAAGAACAAGCGATTAAGTAGAGAACACGCACCCAGCTTATAACTTGAACTAAAATATCCGGCAAGACTGGTTTGYCCAACAAATCCATGTAAGATATAACGGCAAAACGTCGGAGCTCTTCTTCAATCTCTTCGTCTTCATTACCTTTAGATAAAATTGTATAGTTCTACTTGAAACAAACGGCTTTGTAACCTACAGCCAAGTAGTTCTGACTCGGAATACTAGAATGATTTTCATAAACACGTGAAATACGCATTATGCGCCATTACTCTTTATTTTGTACGTTCACTCTCTTTTTTCGTGTACATAGCTTTATGATTCTTTGGCTATTACACATTATTTCAATGATAAAACCAAAGTGCATTGTTTTTCGTTCTATAGTTTTACCTGTTCCGCACAATCCAGAACTTTAATGGAAAGCAATTAAGTTTAGATAGTCTCCTTCTGTTACCTGCGCCATGTTGAAAGGTAGCCGTTCCTTTACATCGAAGCGAGACAACCGTTTAGCGTGCAGTGATAGGAAACTGTAGGTGTGAAAGAAGGTTTCTATCATTGCACGCACAACGGCAGTCTCGCTTCGATGGAAAGGTACGGCTACCTTTCAAGATGGCGCAGGTAAC